GTAACGTAGAGCCATGCAAACACAGAGCAGCAGGAATGCACATGGTTATGTAACATAAATGGATACAAACATACAGCAGGAGGGATGTACATGGCTATGCAACAAAGCCTGTCAAAGGGGGCACACAAACACTGTCGTAATATCTGTACAGGCCTAAGTGAAGTGGAGCCATACAAAAAATAGAGCGTGTAATAAATCACACTTCGCAAAAAATTGTCTGTTAAACTGATTACCACTTATATAGTTTGACTGAGTAGCTCCCACTAAACTCCAGGCTGAAACCAACAAAATCTTCAGGAGAAAATAACCCTCCAAGTTTAATGAGATGTATTGCTGCTATTCATTGTACTTTACCATTTGAATAATTCCAGATACGCTCTTCCATGTAGCTTCCTCGATGTTACCATCGACCATACCTTGATAACCCTGCGAACAGAATAGTAGGTGGGTATTTAACTATTTATATTTTATACACATTATGTCATACTTATAAATACCTATAGCCAAATTTGTGTCCAATCGCACGCACACACGTACGCACGCATGCACACACGCACGCACGCATGCACGCACGCACGCATCTGCATGCACACGGACTCACGTGTGCACGAATGCACGTACACACTCACATGCACTTACGCATGCACATACGCAAGCACGCACACACGCACGCACACGCACGCACGCACGCACGCACGCACACACACACACACGCCCCTAACCCATTTGCACGCATATTATCAGAAGTAGGTAATAGGGAAGGAGTGTGACTTCAATAAACATGGGAAATTCGTCATTTACTAGCCTTAGAATACCTACGATTTACTACGCGTAACTCAACCAACTTGAGCTCAAATCGTACACAGTACATTCGCCTAGCATCGTCCAAAATCGTTTCCTCGTATACACCCGCAATCCGGAGATACAGACTAAAACGTACAACACGATTCTCCATTCTGTTGCCAGCAAATCGACTCCATAACCCGCCTAACTTGAATCGATTTCGCACGATGCTAGACGAATGTACTGTGTACGATTTGAGCTCAAGTTGGTTGAGTTACACGTAGTAAATCGTAGGTATTCTAAGGCTAGTAAATGACAAATTTCCCATGTTTATTGAAGTCACACTCCTTCCCTATTATCTACTTCTAATATTATAAACTTATCTTTTATAGATAAAATAACCTCTCCAACTTCATCCACTATCCATCAGTATGCATGTAGCACTCCATCGCCCAGAAACTTTTCCTATTGCAAAACAGCACGTGGCTGCATAACTATTTGCATAAACCGTCAAGGAAATTCAGTGCATCAGACAAAGCACAGCCAATAAAAGTAACACCAAGTTACTCATCCTTGGTGCAAGCTTGGTGTGTTTTCTGGTTAGTGCACGTACCTCTTTGATGAAGTACATTGTGCATCCCACGTATGATCCCATGCGCACAACGGCACGCACAGCTGCATTCATTCCTGCGAACATACAATAACCAGACTCAGTATACATATGAATGCAGAGAATGAATAAATTTAGACCATAGAGGAAGACGAATTCAAGGCCGAATACACACAGAACTCTTTATTCAAGTTTTCAGTTTTTCCAGTTCAATGATTTCTTGTTGGCCACAACCTGACTGACTGGACCCAAGAGTATCAACGACCAACTTGACATCTTATTTCTGTTGCTTAAAGGCATACTAGGCCCATTGATTATGCAATGTTGACGAATGCTAGAGTAACTGGCACCTTGTGTAGTTAATAAGTACATAACCTTATAGCCAAATGCGTATTAGTTTGTCCAATATCACTGCTGGTTACATTACAAGCAAGACTTGAAATCGGTTGTTGATATTCATTTACGTGCCGTAAATGTCCTTCAGGAGTCAAGCGATAACGTAAACATTTGTGCGGCCCGTATGTTTTGGACGCCAGATGAAATGGAGGTGTCAGCGGTGTAATCACGGCCACGGACTAAACATGGAAATGAAGTAAAACACACGTACTAATCACGGACGTACATGGACAGCCCTGAAAAAAAGTTCCTTATCACGAGCGTCGGTGTTTACGAAATCACATGCATTGCGTACGGCCGAGCATGCGTGCGAAAATGTCCGGTGCGCTATAAAATCTGTATCACACCCGCTTCGCCGGCAGCGGTTTGAAACTATAGTGTAAATTAACAACTGATTTCTTGGACTGCGGATTTCAATCAGACATTTCTTAGTAACCAGCAGTGATATTGGACAAAGAATGTAAGGTTGTGTACTTATTAACTACACAAGGTGCCAGTTACTCTAGCATTCGTCAACATTGCATAATCAATGGGCCTAGTATGCCGGAAATGGAATTAAATAGAACTAGAATAAAAAAAATAACCGTTAAAAAGTTTGGTGGCCTTTTTTTTATGTATTGTAGGGAATGTCTTTAAAGTCACGCGTTATTGGGCGTTTCCATCTATATTATACACGGCGCCTTCGACCATCATTGACTATCAACGTGTGACTTTAAAAACCTTCCCTACAGTATGTTAAAGGCCAAGTTGTACTGTGACATTTGCCGCACTGTAAAAGTAGTGAATTCTTGAAAAGCTTGATGTAAAATATATTTGATCGGTACAATGTCTGACATTTAAAGTTCATTACAGATCGTGGAAAACCTTTTACTCTGCCATTACGACGTAACATGCATGCTCAACGATTCGACACTGGTAAGACTAAGGCGTGCCGAATGTGTAACTGTTGTATGGAAATATCGTTCTTGGCTTATTAGGTACGCTGTTTTATGTATAACCGGTTGTCATAGTTTGGTTGCTAACAGGGAGCGTCTGCAAATCAGACATTTTGGAAGCGTTCAGCTTCTATGTTTGGTATTTATGTTTTAGTCAATAAAATAGATTCGCAGGGCGCGAAATTTGGAGGGCCAGTAACAGTGGCAAATACCGCGTATTAGCGAGTACTTACATGTTTATTTATAGCATTAATGAGCAAAGAGCCTACAATATTGTATAAATTTTGCACAAGGGAAAGATAGTGATCCGCTAGGGGACGACTCTGATTGGCTAATTTTGTCTCTTATTTATTTTTATTATTTTTGGCTAATTTTGTTTTATTTTAGAATTAGGGTAGGGTTAGGGTTAGGGTTAGGATTAGGATTAGGGTTAGGGTTAACTGATTTCTATATATATCCACAACACACTAATAATGCGCCGTCTAGCGAATCACTATCTCTCCCCTGAAGACCTACTAATATTGTTTTACGGTACCTGAAGGATATCACGCCGTAATTTATCAACAGTTTACAAATTTGAAATCGAGAATGCAAGCGTGAAACATGACATTGACAAAAACAATTCGGACATCATGCACGATTTGCATTATAGTCTGTTCAAAAGCTACTATGCGAGGCCGCACATTACATTTTTCGAACAAGAAAGAGTCAGTGATAGTCTTATCTTTATTTTTGAAAAAAAAATTGTGATGGCTGGTAAATTATGGTGAGGGCTGGTAAAAAACTGCTGTTACCAGCCTTCTGCACAGGTGCAAAAAATTCAGAATTTCATGCCCCTGATTCGTATGGGTTCTCAAGTACTTTCTTCACTGTTCAGGGGTAGAAATTAACTTTTGAACACGGGAGTCCGCAGTCTCAGGTTCAAAATTAAAGATATTAACAATAACACATACATATGATACATGTGCATATTTTTAAGATTCATGCGGTTTGCATGTATGCCAAATTTTCTTTGGACATTAGCTGAAAAAATACGGTAATTCCACGAGGCCGTGCTCTGGAACGAACTAGTTACTAGTATGGCAGAATTTTCAGGGAGTTACACGGACTCCTGCATATGTCAAATCAGGGAGTCCGACAGTAAATCAGAGAGTATTTGACTCCGGACGGACTCCCGTTAATTTCGCACCCTGCTGTTTCTGTAACTCCGTCATCAGCCAAACCGCGCAACACTAGTACTTACATGAATACAATGCTCAAGTGTTAATATCATGGACACATACATGTACATTGAATTTAATGTTCTTGCTAGCAGACACTGGGAGAAAACAATACACATGAAGGTGATAAATGAATTCTTAGTTCGTCACTGCTGTTAGTTACGACATACGGATCGAACATTGAATCAAAATAAAATTATGTTATCTTAGTACTGTTATACTTATAGTAAGAGATTTTCAACAATTGTTTCTATTACAGTCTGCTTGTTAAAGGAGCAATAAGTAGGTATTCATGAGCAACAGTAAAATGGTAGCAACACTGCCTTATCTTTCATGTCACAGTGATGTGGCTGACAAGTAATCCTAGACAGATTAAAATGATTAGATATTTTCACTTTAAAAAAAAGTATAATTTAATAATGACATTTCAGTGCAACTACAGGAACCAGAATTTATTGTGAGAAGGAAGATGCCAGAAAGGATTATAATTACGTATTGATTAAAATGATTAATATAAAATGAATATAAATATCATGCCATGAGGGCGATCTAGAGTTCAGGGAAAGTGCAGCAAAGCGGGGTATTGTTGGATTACCATCTAAAGTGAGTGCAAAACAAATAGTAAACAAAGTAGTCCCACAGTATTCTAGAAATAGTCATCAACTCAAGCAATCAAGATCACATGTTAATTTCCGTTGCTGCACACGCACATATAACATATATTGCTCTATAGCAAAAAGTACATGCAGGAGTTTATGGGAGGTGGCTAAAAAGTATATCTGTGTATACACACTGTTGAAAACATTCAAAACAAGATACATCCATAATACAGATACAGTTAAGAATGGGTTTACATGACAAAATGCAACAGAAAAACGAATCTTCACTGAGATCTCATTCATTTTCTGCTTGATTTTGTCAGAACAACTATATCAGTACGTATAATATATCACACCTCATTGTATTATTCTATATACTTGTATTCAGACAGATAGAAACTTTCTCCAGCTCACTTGAAAATATACTGCCGTGTACTGTATGTTTCACTAAAATTATGGTGATGGCAGGCTTGCAGGGTTGGCTCTAAACACCATAAATTATGGTTTATTGTATAATGTATAATCACATGTAAACGAAACTATACTCACTGAGGTGGTACCTGATCAATGCTGCCGGCATCACCATAATTTTAGTGAAAGATGCACACGGCTTACAAGCGCAAAACTGTCCAAACATTCAGACACCCCCAGGGCACTACCAGGGAGTCTATAATAGGCTATAAATAATAATATATATATAATATATACATTATAGACTCCCTGGCACTAACTACACTGTGATAAATGACCCCCAGATTTTACCTGGGGAGTACAACCGGGCCGTATTATGATTGTCAACACAAAACGTAGACTTGTACAACTACAAGTTGTAGGTTACGCCGGCGTAAGTAAGGTACACGTGTCAATTTGTTATTGACACTAATAATCAGTAATGTCTGAAGGTTAGTTATGTAATGATGAGTTTCTGTATTGTGCTGTATGCAGGATTGAATCTGCAGTCTGTTGAGTGTTGGGCGATCGATCCGGTGTGTTACACACAACCGTACTCTATGACTATGAAAATCTAGGTTAGTGCTGTAACATTCTTATAACCCTACCAGGCTGTGTGCCTATTCTAACCCTAGCCTAACCCGTTTCTTGGAGCTATAACATTCTTAGCTCCAAGAAACGGTATTGCTAGGGTTACAATATAGACAATATGTATAGACAATATGTATACATGTATACATGTATACATATATATATTATGTATAGACAATCCGTCGCACAGCCTGGTCGGGCTATAACATTCTTAGTGCCGGTAGGCCCCTACTAATATAATAATTTAATATAGTACTAGTATTACTATTAGTAGTACGAATCTTACCTTGTGAATCTCCACCGCTGGTAAAAATACCAATGCACTTTCCCGTGTGGCTACCAGCGGTGATGGTCATGCCTTCGTTGCCAAGGACGGGCACAACCGCCATCGGATCACCTTCCGTCGCAGAATACAAACGTACCAATCTCTCTCGTCTCATTTTCGTCACCGCGGCAGGACTAGCCGGCGACGGAGTTGCCGCTATATAGGGCGATATCTCTTCCATTTCGCAAGCACTGAAGCGGTTCGATATTAAAACTGGTTAGGCTCGTTCGCCTGACAGAATATACCTTCAGGCAACAATATTACCATTCGTATCGCGGCACTGCAGCAGCTACTACTGATAAATGTCTTGCAGTTCCCACCGCTCCGCGATGACTGTCGACTAACGCTGTCGACTAACGATTTCGACGGCCACGGTCATGCAGCGGAGGTTTGCTGCTCCGCTTTTCCTGTAGATAGACGACAGAGTCCGCTAGTGGTCTCACACGTGATGTTGTCTCTAGATAGTGATTGGTTCTATTTTAACGAATCATTAATTTTTGTACAATGAAGTATAACAACAAATGGCGGCGTTTGTACTACAACTACAACTTACAAGTTGATCACCCGACACTGTAAGCTGTTGCTTATTATTGCTTCGAATTTGTACCTAGTTACAGGACTCAGGAGCTCTCGTCGAGCTGACAGGCTAGACTCTATATCGTGTTGTTGTTTGTTTGATTCGCAATCTACTACTACTATTACTATTATAGCCGCTTACATTAAAGCCGCACAATGCGCATCCAAACGCTAATTTCTTCAGTACTAGACTAGCAAATACTTCGTGTCATGCATAATCANCCTCAATTCAGGCCTGCCTGCCTATGTGGACGCCCTCTACTGTTGGTAAACACCTATACGATCTTTGATCGCTACAAAGCGGGTATAGCGCCATCTACCGTCCTAAATTGTGATTCATTTGTGTTTATAATTATTATTGCGATATACAGATGGCAATTGTTTCTATAAATGTACGTCGATGGTTGCTCAATTAAAACTGACTTCTTCTTACTCACTCATTTGTGTCCTTTTTTGTGGTGAGCTACAGTTGCATTGGCACTTTCATTGTGGTGAGCTACAGTGTCATTGACACTTTCATTATATTATTATTATTATGATATAATGATTTATGCTAAGAAACATCAAAGCGGGTATAGCGCCATCTACCGTCACAAATTGTGATTCATTTTGGTTTATAAATTATTTATAATTTATATATAATATTATTTATTATTTTCACATAAAAAAATTACACATATAATTATCATAAGTATATAATGGGAGTTCTCCCATATAAAATGTTTCCGACTTCCCCTCACACCCTGCGTGGCGTATGGCAAGGGGCGCCGAGGTGGCCTTCAGGTGGGTCACTGCTGGCTCCTGTTTTATTTCGCGCACTATGTTTAAAATATCACATAACAATTCAGGCTATGGCAGAGGTTAACTGTTCATAAACGCATTGATACAATGATATTGAAAAACAGGTGATTTGCTATTGTATGGAAGCTTCTAAAATCATATTTTAAAAATTTGCCTAAATTTAATGTTGGTTAATAATTTTTTTTAACAAACTAACTTTTTATTTAAAACCATATACATGCTTTTGTTGTTAACCCACTACAAGATAGGTCATGTGTATCCTTGCAAAGGTAACTATTAAAATAAGACGCGAATTAAACTATTACATAATTTTGTTAAAGTGTGTTTTTAGATTTCCAATAAATCATTTACGGCCCCATATCCTTACCTGTAGTAAACCATCATCACGGATGGAGTGTAAGTAGGTGATGTATGTGCGATGTGTTTCCAGCAGAATCGACAGGGTATGCCCACTCTTAAGGCTATTCTATTGTAACGACAAGTTTAATAAAGAGAATGCTAACTAGCATTAGATAATTTATAGAAAAAGCAACATCTGGCTTGTAGTACTTGCGAACGAGTTGAAATCTATAGAAATCTACATACGTGTAGGAGGAGCAGCAGCAGCAGCAGCGCTGGTGGGGGTGTGTTGTCCGGACGTCGGCAATGTTTTATTCATTGTGCAGCGCACGACAGCGACGCGCGCAGACGTCACCACGGATGCTCACGCGTGGGGGCGCCACCGTATCTCAGAGTGGGTAGAGAGAAAGCGCGCGAGAGAGAGAGACAGCCAGAGCAAGAGAGACCGAGAGAGGCAAAGAGAAAGAGAAAGAAAGAGAGAGAGAGAGAGAGAGAGGGGCAGGGAAAAGAGAGATGGCATCCGATGGAGACAGAAATAGAGTTAGACTCATCAGAATAATTGCATACGATGTGAATCGAGCGCGAATTAACCGATATGAAAGACAGCATTATCTTTGTAACGCTTTTCCCTTGTTCTCCTGTCCAATGTTTCTATCCGTTTTGACTTAACCTGTCTGGCACTCGGCATGGCCGGTAATTGTTTAAGGCTCGTGATCGTAATTTCACCTTGACGGTAACCGCGTACCCAATGGAGTGCGCTAATACTCCGCCTGCCACAAGGTGGCGCAGATTCGCAACAGGATTGCGGTGCAGTTAGGCCGGGGCCCGGTGACAGCGACGCGAATGCGACGGCGACAGAGCGAGTGAAACGTGTAGTACGAGAGAGAACACTTTATTTTACCTCATTGGGAAATACAAGGAACGTGGCCGGGACGGCGAATCCTTGGCGCCCTTAACTACGCGTTTAACAACCATATGCGGCGCGCATACCGTAAATGTGTTGCGTCCAATGAATGTGGCGCGTAGTGCGTATGGGCGCGCACCATAAACTCGCCACGAACGGAATACCCGTGACGCGTATGTGAAAATCTGCACCTACGTATAATGACACCGGACGTTTAATAACAAATGCGTGTGATGGGTATACAATACAGCTGCGCGTGCACAAAATCGCAACCTGTACAGTGAACCGCGTCCCATACAATAAACGCGGCGCCTAGTGCATGTACGGCGTGCACAGCACCCAGCGCGCGTAGAATTACCGCGATGTACTGCACGTAGGTTGCATGTACCTTAACTATATCCAGATGAGACGGGATACTAGAGAAGCGTTGCCGAAAGGAGGTGTTAATCCCAAACGCTATGAGCGCAGATCTTGCGCGCAGTTCCGTGGCAAGGCGCACGCGATCGCGGGAACGTCGTGCGCGACTATGCACTGCTGGCAGCTATGGATACGTGCGCCGAATGCATAGGCCGGCGCACGGATCCATAGCTGCCAGCGAAAAGTCGACAACTTTAGGGCCAATAGAATTAAGCGGCTCAGGTGCATTGAGGTGTTCTTGCAAGCTAATTAAAATTGTAACTTTATTGCAAATATTCCGAGAACTGTCTCTGTGTCGCCCGCTGTCTATGTGTGGACACTGATGCTCTGTGTTGCAATGTACAGGTATCCAGTCTTCTAACTTGAACCACCAGGGCCTTTGTGCTAAGGTTGCCTGGTTAATTACTGATACGGCTAATTGCACAGAAGCCGCTGAACCTTAAGGCTATGTTACAAGCAAGTTAGCATGCCTCAGAGGGTCATTAACAGTGAAAGGGTACATAAAGGAAGTCACGCTCATACGCTGTATGTCCCCAACGACAACAATGCAAAACATTAAAATAATAAGGAATAATAGCATAATAACAATAACAGTCATAATAATCATAGTGATCAGAGAAATAATGAAAATAATTGTAGTCACAACAATAATAATAATAATGATAATAAATATCATACGATGTTCATCCTAAACTAAGGCATAACACGCTTCGCTTCTATGTGGCTTATATTGAGTCAACTAAGCAATAGAATTCTACAAATCTCAAACTAACACAAACAGGAGAACTCAACTTATAACTGTCTACTGTACTTGTACTAACTACTAACAAACTCTGTAGGCCCCCTAGCTACTTGTCGTAGAGAATTAGTAGAGTAGTAGAGATAGTAACAAACGGTTCAAATTAAACATGAACTTTCATATTTCCGTAGACTGACTAATAGTTGTAATCGTTACTATAAGGAATTATTCTGCTCTTATAACATAGTACTGATGTATATATATGTATATGTATCAAGAGCTAATAAACACCACAACGGAAAAAGGGGGAAATAGTCCAATTTCACGGCAATATATATTATATCTTAACGTACCGGCACAGGTGGGAGGAAAGCACTGTGTAGATCAGCCGGTGTATCGGGGGGAGCAGCATCACCGCTGATATTTCGTGCAAGGACTTTGTCCGCCGCCTCGCTCAGCTGTCCCGCGCGTGATAACGCAAACGGCGCAAACGTGTTCGGCTCGCGCCGCTCTCTCGCCGGCGCGTGTACGTGAGGGCGCAACTCTCTGACCTCCCATATCTGGTAGCTATTTTCTTTATGTAAATCTATCAAAGCTATTTTTATAGCGCCGAGAAATATAGCATATCACATGTTGAAATTTCTAGGCGTACTAATAATGACAAATACATAGTTATTCTTATACACCATTCTAATATTTTTATAGTAATTATATCTGAGAGCCTTTGTTTACAAGGTGGCTGCCTCCATACCCGTTACTGAGTTATAATACAGTCGGCAGTGAAAATGACTATAATATACACATAGGCCTATCTGTATAGCACCTGCTGAATATAGACGATGAAGCTAGAATCATCACAATACCACCATTGCATTGGACCATTTCGATCACTCGGTACCCGACGGTCGTGCGCGCAATGCGATTTTCATGACTCGCATAATATAATATGATAACCTGCCAGTTAGAATAGTATAATAGACTATTATAATAAGTTATTCTTACGATGTACCATGATTAATTGAGAGCTTTGAAACATATAGTGATGTATGGATTATGGTAACAATTTCAAGTAACTGTGAAAAATTTAAAATAGAAGAGACGATTTAGAATGGTCGAGTGGCATCGAATGCAGGGCACGTAATAAAATTGCAAAACCTAAACTGAACAGTCACGATACCTCAGACAATAAAATCCGTCCGCCGCCACGGGCAGCGCGGGGTCAAGAGGTTGATAAAAACCTCGCACGTACGGAGCCAGGCGCTTTTCGAGATAACATCTAGTGGAAATTCTCAGTCTAAACAAACATCAATCAACGGGCTTAGCCAATTAGAATCCCACGTCACGATTCCAGCTAGACTGGTACGGACCTTAACTCGGCCAAGTATCTTTCGCTACACTAAAGTTATAGTTAGTGCAGCGTGTGGAACTCTCCACCGCGGAGCAGTCTAAGCCGAATCGCCGATCCTTGTGTGGAAAATTCTCTGGAAAATTTCTCGAAGAGAGCCTCGTCGCGCCATCTATGGGACGCCATATGTACGAGAATAAGTTCAGGGCGTGAAACGGAAGAAATGCAAACTCGCTTTTCTAGAGGAAAACCTAAAGCGCCGACC